AATTTTTTTCAGGTTGTTTCTCTTTCTAAAATTTGATATAGTTTTTCTCACTAAACTTTAAGATACTTTCTCTCTCTAAAACTTAAAATTTGAGATAGTTTATCTTTCTAAATTTTTTTAAGCATTTTCTCTTTCTGAAACTTGATATAGTTTTCACTCTCTAAAGTTTTAAGAAAGTTTCTCCCTAAAACTTGAAATTTGATATAATTTATTTTTCTAAAATTTTTAAGATAGTTCTCTCTTTAAAAACTTTCAAGTTGTTTCTCTCTCTAAATTTTGATGTTTTTTTCTGTAAAACTTAATATTTGAGTAGTTTCTCTCTCACTAAATTTCTTAAGGTAGTTACTCTTTAAAAAAAATTTAGGTAGTTTCTCTCTCTAAAATTTTAAAATACTATATCTCTCTAAAGCTTGAAATTTGAGATAATTTCCCTTCAAAATTTTTGAGATAGTTTCTCTATCTAAAACTTTAGGTATTTTTTCTCGCTAAAATTTTAGGATACTTTCTCTCTCTATAACTTGAAATTTAAGATAGTTTCTAACTAAAAATTTTGAGATAGTTTATCTCCTTAAATTTTTTTAGATAGTCTCTCTCTAAAATTTGATATAGTTTATATCTCTAAAATTTTAAGATACTTTCTCTTTCTAAAACTTGAAATTTTGAGATAGTTTCTCTCACTAAAATTTTTCAACTATTTCTCTCTCTAAAAAAAATTAGGTAATTACTCTCTCTAAAATTTTATATAGTTTCACTATCTAAAATTTTACAATACTTTCTCTCTAAAAGGTGAAATTTGAGATAGTTTCTCTTTCTAAAAAATTTCAAGTAATTTATCTCTCTAAAAATTGATATAGTTTCTCTCTCTCAACTTTTAAGATTTTTCTTCACTCTAAAACTTGAAATTTATGATGGTTTCTCTCTAAAATTTTAACATATTTTCTCTCTTTAAAAATTTTGGGTAGTTTGTCTTTATAAAATTTGATATAGTTTCTCTCTCTTCAATTTTGAGATATTGTCTACCTAATACTTAAAATTTGAGATGCTTTCTCTGTCTAAAATTTTTTAGATAGTTCAAAATTTTTCAAGTAATTTCTCTTCTAAAATTTGATTAGTTGCTCTCTCTAAAGTTTTAATATATTTTCTCTCTCTAAAAATTCAAATTTGATATAGTTATGCTTTCTAAAATTCTTGAAATAATCTCTCTAAAAAATTCAGGTAGTTTTTTTATCTAGAATTTGATAGATTTTCTTTCTCTAAAATTTTAAGATACTTTATTCATCTCAAATTTGTAATTTGATATAATTTCTCTCTCTAAAAATTTTTAGAAGGGTTCTTTCTCTAAATTTTTTAGGTAATTTCTCTCTCTAAAATGTTATATAATTTCCCTCTTAAAAATTTGAAAATGATACTCTCTCTCTAAAACTTGAAATTTGAAATTTTAGATACTTTTTCTCTCTAAAACTTGAAATTGATCTAGTTTCTCTCCCTAAAAAATTTGAGATAGTTTCTCTCTCTAATTGTTTTAGTAGTTTTTGATATAGTTTCTCTTCTTAAAATTTTAAGATACTTTCTCTTTTTAAAACTTAAAATTTGAAGTGGCTTCTATCTATAATTTGTGTGGATGTTTTGGCATAATTAATTGCATTTAATAAAATGGACCGTTTTGGTTTGAAAATAGTATTGTTACAAGTTGTATTCCCTCTTTTATGCTTACACAAAACAAGGTTTTGGATAACTCAATTTTTTTTTTAGTTTTGCATACCCATGTTTTGGCCCTCTTACTTGGTTATAGAAAACATGGTTATATATCCCAAAAGTTGCCAAACGTCTTTTTATGCAAGATACAGTGGGTTTTTGGATAACCTATGATTCAAATGATCCTTAATCTTTTAAGGGATGAGGATTACTTTCTATAATTATAAAACTTCGGAATTAAAAATTCAAAAACAACTTGTCATGTTTCCTAGTTTGATTGTTGAATACAAAACTTAAAGGACTAATACATATTTAAGACTTTGTTGATTATTGCTTAGGGTAAGGTTTTTATACTTCCCCTTACGGCATT